CTTTCCTGCTCCTCTGACACTGCCTGGCCTGCTGTGTTCCTCCAGCTCCACACTGTGTTATCTCTGACTCCAGCATCTGCAGTTCTTACTATCTCTCTACATCTAATCTATCCAGCTCTGTTAGGATTTTATACATTTCAATCAAGTCTTCACTCATCCTTCTAAACTCTCTTGAATACAAACCCGGCAGAACCATTGTCTCCTTTATAGGGCAATCTGCTAACCAAAGTATCAGATTAGTTAACCTGTGCTGCACTCCATTTATGGCAAATATATCTTTCTTAGGTAAGGAGAGCAAAACTGAATGCAAGTGGTGATGGCCTAGTGATATTATTGCTAGACTACTTAATCCAGAGACCCAAGTAATGTTTTGGCAGAACACAAAAACAGAGATTGCTGGAGAAATTCAGCAAGTCTGGCAGCATTTGGGGAGAGAAAACAGAGTTAGTGTTTTGAGCTCAGTGACCCTTCTTCAGAGTATCTCAGAAAAATCCTTTGAAGAAGGATCACTGAACTTGAAACATTAACTCTGCTTCTCTCTCCACAAGTGCTGACAGATCTGCTGAGTTTCTCCAGTATTTTCTGTTTCTGTGCGCTTCAGATCCCCAGCATCTGCAGTTCCTTGTTTTATTGTAATGTTCTAGGGAACCAGGTTTGAATTCCATCATGGCAAGTGGGGGAGTTTGAATTTAATAAAAATCCGGAATTAAGGGTTTAATGATGACAGTGAAATCATTGTCAATTATCAGAAAACCTGTGCGGTTCACTGATGTCCTTTAGAGAAGGCAACTACCATCCTTACCTTGTCTGGCCTACATGTGACTCCAGAGCCACAGTAATGTAATTGACTGTTAACCACCCTATGGGCAATTAGGGATGCCTAATAAACACTGGCCTAGTAGTAATGCCCACAACCCATGAATGAATTAAGAAAAACCCTAGTTGTGGTCTCACCAAGACTCTGTATAACTGCAGTAAGACACCCCTATTTGTGAACTGAAATGCTTTTGCAGTGAAGGCTAACATACCAGTTGCTTTCATCTACTTTAATTGACTGGCATGCGTATACACCCATACTTCCAGATATGTCATTGTTTAAATAATACTGTCCTGTTTTTCACACCAAAGTGCATAATTACAAATTTAGCCACATTGTACTGTCTCTGCCGTTTGTTTGCCCACTTGCTCAGCTCATCTCAATCACCTTGCATTTTCTTTGCTGCCTCATGACTCTCATTGTTGACTAGTTTTGAGTCGTCAGCAAATTTGGAGATATTTTATTCATTTCCCTCTTTCAGGTCATTGTTATTTGTTGTGAATTGCTGGGTTATAAGTCTTGATGTTTAAACTCTGCTTTATATTACTGACAATATCTTCATCTATTTTCTGGGCTGTTTGTTTTTTGGTCCACAGTTTCAATCGTGATGGGAGTTCCAACTGTCAAGCGGGAGGTGCACAGTTACCTGACTGACACATTGAACTCCCTCATTTATGAACTGTCCCCAGAGGAAAAGCAAGATTGTGTGATTGTTGTACTCATTGCAGAGGTGAGTGAAAATGTATCGCTGGATTTATATTTGAGTTTACGATTAACCCCTTTTTCTCCTGCACTTCCTAGACAAAAATAAACAGGCTCTCTGCATCCATCACATTGCACCTTCTCTTTGAAGTCCCTGATTAGGTCACCAATCAACTTCTCAAGATTTTGTTTTTAGTCAAATTGGCTTATTTTGATTTTTAATCCAGTTAAATGATCTAATTTGTTATGCGTTAAATACATACCTGTAGACCAAGCCTCGATGTGTTGAAACGTCATTGTGTGGTTTCTCTCTCTCTTAATGCTCACTGACATTTGTTGCTTCACTCCCAGCATTACCCTTTTCACCCTCATTTTTCATTATTTGTGGGAGCTTGTTTTTTTTGAAAGATTTCCTACACAACCACAATAAGTATACTTTACCAGCTGTAAAGTGTGATTGGATGTCCCAGGATTGTGAAATTCGCTATCAAAATACAAGTCATTTTCATGAAGTTTGCCATGAGTTCACAAAAATTATAAATGCAAGTCAAAGTAACAATTTATGGCTGATCATTCCATATACGTGCCCTCCTCTTAGTTTCTCCCTCCTTCAAATCACTGAAACAAACTGGTTCATGTGTGATTTGGAGATTCTAGACTCCAGTGTCCTTTGTGGATGTGTGTTGAAGACAGATTTGACATTTCTGTTCAAATTGCTTGGTAGCTGTCGTGCCTCAGTATGATAATTCTATTAAATCCTGGAATTGTTTTCCGCTTCAGCGGTTCAACAGCATGTAAGGCTGTTCAACTTGTGGATTACGTCTACTAAGCAAGTGAAGGGCTTTCACCTTGGAAGATCCTTGAAGTTTACCTACAGTAACTGGATTAAATGTGTTGTCGCGTTAAGTGGACACAGAAATTTTGACTCGCAAATATTAAATATGGATTAGATTTCACAGTTGTTGGTGTTTGTAATAAAGAGATGGAAAAAGCAACATTTTAGTTGCAATATGAATCACAAATTCAATGACATGAGTCACTAAAAGGTCAAAAGACCCTCTGAGAGCAGATGTTTGAATCAAATAAGTTAATGTTTTTAAGATCTGGTTAGAATGGTTAACGTTTAAGGAGAAATGTGAATACCTAGTCATTTAACTAGTAGAACTATACCACAAGATTTAATGCTTTAAGTAAAGCACAAAATTATTGTCAATAGTACTAATTAAACAAAATAAATAGGATTAAGTTAATGCCATAGCATTAGCATTTGCTTTCTCCGAAAATTCTCTCATAAGTAGCAACATCTTAACAAAAAATGTTGGAAATCACAGCAGGTCAGGTAGCATCCGCAGAGAGAGAGCAAGCTATTGTTTTGAGTGTAGGTGATTCTTCGTCAGAGCTTTGATGGTAAAAGCATTGGCTTTAAGGTACACTGGGGTAAAAAGTTTTTCTTTTATGAGGTTAGGCGTAATGGATTCCAGTGAATGAGAAATTTCCTATGATTTACTACTATTGAAGTCAGTGTAATAGAAAATGGGGCAAAGTGCAAAATAGGCTGCTAATTTGCTACTACCTGTTTTATGCTGCTGCCCAAGACTGATCTGTAGAATCATAGACTCCTTACAGAGTGAGGAAAGAGGTTATTCGGCCCAAAGAGTCTGAGCCCACCCTCCGAAGAGCTTCCCACCCAGACCCAACACCCTCCCCTCCTACCCCATACCCTATCCCCATAACACCAGCATTTACAGTAGCTAATCTACCTAGCCTGCACATCCTGGAACACTATAGGGAAATTTAGCATGGCCAATCCACCTAACCCACGCGTCTTTGGACATTGGGAGGAAACCAGAACTCCCGGTGGAAATGCACACAGATGCGGGGAGAATGTGCAAACTCTACACAGTCTCCCAAGGCTGGAATTGAACTAGGATCCCTGATGCTGTGAGGCTGCAGTGCTAACCACCTGAATCACTGTGCCACCCAAAGATACCAGTCTTTGTTACCAGCAAATGAGGAAAATATATATAAATACAAATTTTTCAAAAGCAACAGGAGTTCATTTGGATTCAGATTAGAGCCTTTGTGAAACAATTGAAAGGGGCACGTGGGGGATTAAACACTTTGGTAAATGCCGCTTTTGTTATATGAAGGCCATGCTTTAAATTGATGCTTTTTGTTCGTTCCTGTCACTTGCTTAAAGTTCACACAACTATAAACACAACTCTGCAGGGTCATTAGCAGAATTGTTGGGTTGCTGCCATCATTAGAAATGTACAGTCAACCTTTCGTACAGTTTAACTATAGTTTGCACAGAGGCACTTGCTACTGCAACAGAAGTCAGTAGGTTGTGGTGGGCTCTGGAGAGGATTAAAGAAAAAACATTGAGAGAAGTAGTTGCAAAACAAAGCTTTACTCAAAGTTGACTGTTAGTTTCAAAACATGTGTTTTTGCATTTGAAGCTGTAATTGAGATCCACACAGTGACTAGACCTTGTCTTTTGTGTGTGCATGTATAAAACGTTTCCTATTGTTAAAATTAGGTGATTTACGCAAACCAATGTTTCAGGGGAGCACTGGAAAAGGATTGCAAGGATTGGTATTACATGAGATGAATTTCTTGGCACAGGACTACTTCATGGGGGTCTATGGACTGAGAAGCAAGTTTCAGAATTTGGCAAGATGGTTTTGGGGACAGACGATCGGGGATTTGAAGGAACACAGTTTTTGGGTTTGTGCGCCATGGTGAGGATACCTCTGGGCCAAAAACATGCAGAAATTTCTGAGGAGGAAATCCTTAGATTTTGTAAGACCTTGAACCATTTCAGGGGCTGAATGTGGCAGTATTAGGGGTTTGAGGGATACAGGTTTTTGGAGGGGAGTAAGAGTTTGCTGCCTTGTGTAGAAAGGGTTGGTGTTATTATCTGAGCTGATGTTATTGCTAGACCAGACTGAAATCTGGCTTTATGGTATCTTTCATTTAATTTAACAAGGTAGTCTTTCACTGAAATACAAGCACACAAGATTGCAGACTTGTTTTTAAACAATAAAAACTGAAGTTTATTGCATAAAAGAAAACATAAAAAATGGAATAAACTAAGCTGTTTATATGTAACGCAATTGCAAGATTTTAAAACACTCAGTTAAAAATACAATTCCTTCTATCCTATTGCAAAATTATAGTACTCAAACACCAGCGAGATTTTGCTTTTCTATCACACCTATTGATTTAACCATTTCTTTCAGTTCCCACCTTGAAAATTTGGTTGCCTCTTCCATGATTGTCTCACAACTGAGTTTAGACTTTCTCAATTTCAAATAAGCCTTTTAGGATTCTAACCAAATACATCTGGTCTAGAACTTTCAAACTAAAATCTTTACGCTGAGGTAACCTATTTCCTAACAGTTATGAATTATCTCCTTTCTTCAGGAAAATCTGTTCCACACATTTAACTTCCACCAGGACCTCCTCTTAACAGAAAACAATCTTAACACTCATTGTTTACTCCGTCCAATGCAAACAAATTCCTGTTATCATTCAGGGAGCTTCCCCTCTCATACTAGTTTTTTTTTTTAATAAAATCATAGAGACAGAAATACTGAGAAGTTAATCATTAAAATCCCTCATACACACAGATCAACCCATGTGCAACTTTTTCAAAATAAAGCTCTGAAATAAATGACATTAAAATATATTCACAAATTGCATCAAACTAGGAGGAAAATCACAGGAAAAAAGGGATTTTTGCTCTTTGCAGATCATTGTCCAGCCAACTGATATCTTGTGCACTTGACTTCTCCTTCTCCTTCACAACCACCTTCCTTTTCAGTTCTTCTCTGTGGTTCTTTACACTGAAATAGTTAAACGTGAAGTTGCTGTACCTGTATTGCTAAAGTACATTTAGCTCCCTGATCATGCATCCATATAAATAACGAACTCTGTATGTACATGTTCTGATTATTTGGATACAAGTTTGAAATGTACTCCTTTAAATGAACAATTAATGTGTTAGCGGATTTGTAGCTTCTCTAACCAGGAGATATTTCCATGAATGAATGTTTGCTCATTGGTCAGGCCCATTTGTTTACAATCTTTTTAACCTAAAATCAATCCATTGAGCTTCAAAAAATGACTGGAATTTTCTAAGAAATAAATCTGACTTCAAAATAATTCCACTCTCCACTAAATGATTTCGTTATTTCGTTTTTCTAACCAAAAGTAAAGTTACCAGGATCACAGATGCTATGGTTCACAAGGGTGTGTTTGTCTGAGGAATTTATAGCAGAGTTTGTTAGGTATTTTAAATGTCATCTTACACTCTCTTTGTTTGAAAGCCCTTTGAAGGAGTGCGTGTGCGCGAGTGTATGTGAGAGAGCGGTTCTTCCCCACCCCCACCCCCGCCGCCCCACTCCAAACCACCACCACCACCACCACCACCACCACCACCACCACCACCAATGTCCACCTTTTGGCCTGGGTCCCACATTAGTCTGGGTGCATTGCTGCCACCTCTCCTACTGAGGGAGGGCAGGACTATTATGTTTTGCAGATCAGACCAGTAGATTATCTTTAAGACAGTTACATGACATAATGGCATGTGACAGATAGGTACATACTTCGCCTTCAGTTGCTCCTTCAGAGCAAGAGAGTCATTCAGTTGCATTTTTGTAATGGACAGTAACTTCAGTAAGCACACATATATGTACAAGTCTGTGATATTATAGCAATGTAAATAATTTGTGTTAACACACTTTGTGATGAAGATTCATATTATATGATTTGGAAAGTTGGATTTTAAAGTAGACAGAACGATATGTAACTTTAAGTTTAATTTATATTCCTATGTTGTGTGTGTTAAGAGGAGAAGGATGTGGTTTTAGTTTCATTTTGTTTTTAAGTTCCATCCGTGGTGAAGAGCTGTTTTTGTTTAGATGCATTTCAATTCCCATCTTCTCCTTAAAACTTGTGCCATGAGATTCTTCATTTTTTTTTGCAAAAAGGAGGCCTTGATTTGATGCCATACAAAAGTAA